AGTCATACCTGCGCAGGAAAGCTCGCCCCTCCGCGACGTCTCCTCAGCAATTTCTACTCCAACACTACTCCCAAGGCCGCAGAACAAACTGTAGTGTTGACTCTGACAAGGAAAAGCAGCGGTGATCACTTGTCACTCCAAACGACAAGCTTCTCCTTGCGCCACCAATAATTTTTGTGCGACTGTTGATGCAAAAGTGACTGAAGGCCTGAGCGCAGTTTTTGAATCTTATTGCAAGATGCACGGTGAAATCACGTGCCTTGTGACGCAAGAATGCCAAGGATCACGGCCGTGGATCACGGCTCACGAGATTTCAGAGTCTCCTTTGTCAAGTGCGCTTGTTACTCGCCTTGAACGCCCGTTGGTCTGGAAGTGATCACACTTGTGTTGTTACGGCGCTCAAGAACACGCTGACCGTGTTGTAGGCCTACGAACCGGGACTTTCACTGACCATGTAGGTCGAAGACCAGTGAATGATGATGAAATCACATTCTTTATGACGTAAGAAATTTCTCATGCAGTTCACGCGACAAGTGCGTGCAGCCAGTGCTACTGGCATGCCAGTCAACACAAAGGGACCGAGCTAGCCGCTTTTGTCGAGCATCGACATGAAAACAAGGGACTTTTACTGTTGGACTATGTTCGGGATTGCAGGAGGTAAGTGTGAAAGACGAATAACTCTCCATGCTGTACGGGGCATATTTCAACGGCTTGCTGCCATTGCAACACTCCTAGGACAGTTTGTGGGGTTCTCAGCAGTTCAAGCAGGAAATGAAGCTCATCTTACCTCTGCCATCATGGTCTGTTCCGAGTAGCGTTCCAGGCACATTCGCGATCGATGGCCGCGTATCGTGATGCAGGAAGCGTCATCCTACGTCACAGAGCACGCGATCTCATTGTGCATCTTGCAATAAGATTCAAAAACTGCGCTCAGGCCTTCAGTCACTTTTGCATCAACAGTCGCACAAAAATTATTGGTGGCGCAAGGAGAAGCTTGTCGTTTGGAGTGACAAGTGATCACCGCTGCTTTTCCTTGTCAGAGTCAACACTACAGTTTGTTCTGCGGCCTTGGGAGTAGTGTTGGAGTAGAAATTGCTGAGGAGACGTTGCGGAGGGGCGAGCTTTCCTGCGCAGGTATGACTTTGGCCGTATTTCAGCATGGTCGAGTGGAAAAATTCAAAAAAGTTTATTTCAAGAAAACCCCAAAAGGAAGATGGGGGACATGTCCTCAGCGCTAGAAGAGGTGTTCTACTATCTGCCGGTGTATAGTTCTGGCCAATTGAGGACGTAGCTGGCTGTTTTGCCAGCGCTTGTAAATTGGCTATTTTCAAGACGATCATTTGTGGAGTCTCGTCTTCTGGGATGCTGGCGTGGCTAAGCGGTACTGCTCCAGGAACTCTTCTAAGGTGAGGCAATGTTGGCTTGATGGAGTTTTGTTCATAGCTTGTTCGTATACGCTGTGGCGTGACTCGTTTCTAGACCTATAAATAATGTGATATTTCGGCCATTTTTGAGGGGTATGCAAATTTCAAGGTTCCCTTCAGAAACTTTTTCAAGGGCTTTGCACAATCGATCCACACCCCAAAGGGAACCTACCTGCAAATTTTGAGCGAAATCGGAGAGATCCACTTGCACACATACTTTGGTATTCTCAGACATGCTCTCTTAACTTCAGTTTCTTTGGTTGTATCCTTGGTTCCGTTTTTTCCCACTGATGATTGGAACGAGAAAATCGATTCTGGGTTTTCAATAATATTTTTGTTATAAAATACACAGTAATACATGTCAAACAAGTAACGTAGTTGCGTGATGTCTGCGGCCTTCATCCTATTCATAGCTATATTAAAATTGTTATCTCCACGTAGGTTATTTTTTTTATTTTTTTAGTATTATTTTTTTCTTCCTCTATCACATGTATCATCTTTCCGTTTTTCCTTCCCTATATAAATGTACCCCCCCCCCTCCCCTCCCCCTGTGCCTACTCCTCCCCAGTTTTTGGTGCACTGAAGTGTCGCTGAAGCCGAGACCTCAGGTCGGCGGAGATGCTCCAGTTTCACCACCACAGTTGCGTCTGCAACCACCTCTATCATGCAGTATTCTGTTCTCGAGGTTCGTGGTTTCTCGTAAAACACAAAAAAACAAAACATAGACCTCGTAAAAGACCTCGGGGACCTCAGCCTTTTACTCGGTCTATATACCCTGTATAGACGTCCTAACCAGTTTATAATCTGTATGTAAAACTCAGTGGTACGGCGGAGTCGAGATACAACATTGAAACGAATACGATGTGTCGATGTCCTTAGCGAGAAGGCCTTTCTCACTTCAGAACTTGCGTTTTTGTAACAGTCGGCTTCTTTTAGAACGTATTCTAGTCTCTTGTCTCTTGTCGCCGTTTGCCTCATAAACTCTTGTTAGGTCCATTACTATATTTACAACACTTTTGTAGTTATAGCCGAGTTCCGCTAGCTTTCCGTCTAAGTCTTCCACGAGTATCTCTTGATTCACTAGACGCACCAGCACCGCTCACAGGTGACTGGTGAAAGCTGTTTTGGTTTGCATTTTCGCTTTTCGGAGATCTGTCGCTGACTCCATTGGCTGACTCTGCATCAGCAGATTGGTCCTACATAAAGTCCTTTTCGACTTCGTCTTCAGAGGCCATGACGACGCTGGTAATGCTTTTTACACGTTTCACTAACCAACTACGAAGAAACCATCCTCTGCTACCACTGAACACACGAGTAGTTCGATAGCATTACCAATTTCACCACAGCATCATAGAAAACAGCAACGGAGTAATACAACCGATAAAATGGAGAAGACGAACTCAAAACTCTCGAGACATTCTCAAACTAACTCAATAACTAGTCTCAGAAAGGAGAAGCAAACTCCAGGGCTATACTGAAGAGAAAAGGTGAAAAGGCGGGTAAGAAGAGCGGGAATAAGGGTGATGAAGCCGGTCAATGGAAGGATAGGTGCTAGTGACTTGTTGGTGCAAAAGGCAGCGCATAGCTCACATTATGTTCCTTTTTTATTTATTTATTTATTTTTTTACTGAATACCACAGTACCATCAGATGCTGCACAGCGTGGCATATTGGATGGAAGTGGGGGCGGGGCAAAAGTAACTCCTCCGACCAAAGGTCTCGGAATCATCCTTGTCATCACGATACCCTAACATATTCCTGAACACACATCCTCTGCACACTACCCCAACTCTTTCTGGTTTCAGAAACTTGGAAAACAATCACCTGACTTCTCTTGATGTCAGCGCCTTTCATGGACTAGGGAATTTGGCCGACCTGTAAGTCTAAAGAGATAAATTATTTTTGATTTGTACTTCACCTGCAGAGTATCATTCCTGTGAAGACATTATAAACCTGACTGCTGCATGGACGACAAGTGCTGCAAGTAGTGCCTGTGGTCATGCACTCCGAGTGCCTCCCCTGGCTAGCAAAGGTTCTTGAAAGTCAGCCCCCATCAGCTCCATTGTCACGGTTACCAGCACAACCCAGGCACAGTGTGTAATAGATCACATTAGTAGCTTGGAAATAACACACTCTCTCAACTGAGAAGAGTCTTGTTTGTAGCACAAGGTTTTGAAGAGAACAACAATGAGAATAATCTACGTGGAGATAAAAGTTTAATAATAGCTATGAAAAGTATGATGTGGTGAGTACTGATGATCGGAGCTTGAAAATCGATTCTGGAAACACACAATATAAGACCTTGAACAAATTGTCATGTTGCGTGGTGATGTGCATTGACTTCCATGCACGCTCCAGCCGTAACATCTCGTACCGGCGGATGCAGTTTTGAGAGCTCTAGCCTCTGCATCCTTTTGGGAAAGTCTTCGGTTTTAGGTTGTCCCATGTCAGGAGTTTTTTGCCCTGGCCATGGCGACAAGTTCAAGTAGTATCAGTATAGTGGTTGACCCCCTCGAATATGGGAGTCCTTCGCCCAGCTCAGTTCTTACAAACAAATGCAGTGATTGCCTAAACGGCCTGGCGGAAATTGTAGTTGAAATACAGCGAGAGCGACGCGAGGCAGCAGATCGAGAGAAGCGTCTGATGTCCAAGATTGATCTGCTCACCCGGAAGGTTGAAGAACTGTCTCTGAAAGCTGCTGGGTCATCGGCATTTGATCACGGTGATGGAATTTCCGAAAAAGTCGACCAAAAAACAACGAACAAGAAAGGCCAAAAAAATAGAAAAAACCGACCTGGTGGCGCTGCCACATCAACGAGTACAAATACGGGTACTCCAGGCAGCAACCACCGTACAGCCTCCGAGACCTCCGTAGCTGTCGACAGTTCCAGTTCCTCTCCTGAGAGCACAATCGTATCGCAGCTCGGAAATTCGAAAAATGCCTCCATCCCAGCGCAGAGTGATTTACTTTCTAATTTCGAAGAGGACAACAAAGACAGTGGAGTATGGGAACTTGTTTGTGGACGAAAGCCTGTCGGAAGGAAGTGTGTGATGTTCGTTGGCAATCTTCCCTGCAGTGCAGTACCTGAAAAGATTGCTGAGTTTGTGACCATCAGAGCAAGTGAAGCCAAAGTGAACGTCAAGATCTACGAATGCAAAATTTTCAAAAAGGAAAGGTCCTCCTCGGCACGCCTTGTTCTGGATGCTAAGAGTGCAGTACTAGTGAATTCGAGAGAGTTCTGGCCTAGACCTCTGTACTCACGTCTATGGAATTTCGACAAGTATGATTCTACTTCCCCACAATCCCGATCACCTGCGGGTGATGATGAGGCAATGGATCTGTTAAGTGGCCTACCAAATATCCGTACTGAGACACGCCCAGCTGATGAATCGTCTGGTGCCATCAAGGGATCATCTATCAACTCGGAATGACCAGCACGAGCACGACCAACACGCTCCGACTGTACCTAACGAACGCCTTTGGCATAGCCTCCAAATTTGGTGACTTCCGCCCTGCTCTCGCACTCCACTCTCCCGACATCGCTATCGTTACCGAAACCAAGCTCACGGTGGAAAAATGTCACAAGCCGAGACTGCCATCCCTGGCTATGGCCCTCCAATGCGGTTGGATAGGACGGCTCAAGGAGGTGGTGTCGCTGTCTGGGTGAGCAACGACCTAGCGGCCATTGAGCTAGGCATGGTTCCCCGTGACAACCAGGAGATCATAATATTATGGTTCACCGCCCGTCTGCGATGTGGCCGAACAGCTGTTGTTGCTGCCCTGTACAGGCCTGGTAGTGCTCCGGAGGGTGACACCAGCCTCATGGAGTACCTTGATCGCACTCTCGATGCTGCCCGATGTCATGGTACCCAGTTGATCCTTGCTGGAGACTTCAACGTCCACAGCACCGACTGGCTTCATAGTACAAAGACAACACCTGCTGGCGAAGCAATGGAGGAGCTCAGTGCTGCTCATCACCTCACCCAACACGTGCTTGAGCCAACCAGGGGCAATAACACCCTGGACCTGGTCCTTTCCGACTTTGACACCCCGGTCATGTCTACTGTGCACCCACCTCTCGGCCGATCTGACCATGCCAGTGTGATTACCGACTTCCTGCGTGCTCCACCACACCGGGAGCCTCCAACCTCGAGGTGCGTGTGGCGCTATAATTTGGCTGACTGGCCACGTTTAAAGCACTTCTTCCGGCAAACAGACTGGTCCTCTATCATCACTGACAACATTGACCTGTCATGCGAGCGGCTGACTGGCAGGATCTCTGAGGGCATGACAACGTTCATCCCGTCCAAGAGCCTCAAGCTGCACAGTACTGACCCAGTGTGGTGGACACCAGAGTGCACCGAAGCCACCAAGAGGAAGCGAAATGCATGGAAGCGACTCCGTCTGCATCCAGCAGATGCACAACTCCAACTAGCTTATACCCAAGCCACAGCCACTGCCTCAGCATGCCTTCAGAGAGCTGAAGATACCCATGCAGCAGCCATTCGTGGAAGGCTCGCAGCAGGTGGTTTATCCAGTCGTGAATGGTGGTCCACTGTCAAGCGTGCCGGTGGGTGTGGGCGTAGCCATGATATCCCTACCCTCAAGGAGGAAAACGGTGAGGAGCTAACCACCAGTAAGGACAAAGCAGAGAGCTTTGCCCGCTACTTTTCAGCGAAATGCAGCCTTGGTGATGACCTTGATGCCAGCAACCTCCCGTATGTACGCCCGCGATCTGATGCTTGTCTGAGTACCATCCACTTTAGGCCACGAACGGTATGCCGTGAACTGAGGAAGATTGTCCCGTCCAAAGCCACTGGCTCGGATGGTGTACCAGGATGAGTGTTGAAGCAGTGCTGTGAGGAATTGTGCAGGCCTGTGGCCCAGCTCTTCAGCAAAGCATTCCGCCAAGGCCGGCAACCGTCACTGTGGAAGCTTGCCTCAGTTGTACCTGTGCACAAGAAGGGTTCGAAGTCCGCAACAAAGAACTACCGACCCATATCCCTGCTGCCAATACTGTCAAAGGTCATGGAAGCTATCATCAATCGTAGCCTTATGGGATTCCTTGAGCGGCGGCACATCCTCACCACTAACCAGTACGGCTTCAGCTCCGGCCTGGGAACGCAGGACCTCCTTACCCTACTACACCATCGTTGGAGTACCGTGGCTGCAGGGGGCGGAGCTGTGCGGGTTGTTGCTGTGGATATTGCTGGAGCGTTCGATCGAGTCTCCCACCCAGGTGTGATCCACAAAGCCCAGCAGTACGGTGTATCCGGCATGCTCCTTGCATGGTTGAGGGACTACCTGCTGGACAGGCGCCTGAGTGTTGTCGTTGGTGGGCAGTCGTCCAGCCCACACCGCATCACAGCCGGTGTTCCGCAAGGTAGCTTGTTGGGACCGACACTGTTCCTCCTCTACACTAACGATGCCGATGACCACCTTCCACCAGGTGGAGATCTGGCCGCTTATGCCGACGACACAACGCTGTTTCAGTGCCTGTCCACCATGGATACCATTGACCACAGCTCGACAATCCTGCAAAATGCTCTCGATGCCCTTGTGGATTGGGGCACCAGCTGGAGAATTGCGTTCGAGCCAGCCAAGTCCCAGGCCATGACTATTGACTATCACCGCCCCGCCTGGGACCTCCCAGCAGTACAGTTTGCGGGTGTCCCCCTGAATGGAGAGAGTAACCTCAAGCTTCTTGGGGTAACCTTGGACAGTCAACTTTCCCACCGCAACCACCTCCGTACCATCGCCATCAGAGCACGCCAGCGTCTCGGGCTCCTGCGGAAGGCCTCGCCGCTCCTGGATTCTCGAAGCCGAGCTACAGTGTACCGTGGGTTTGTACGCCCAGTAATGGAGTACTGCCGATTGGTCTGGATGGGCGCAGCAGATTGTCACTTGCAGCGACTTGACCAGACGCAGCGCTCAGCCCTCCACTTGATTGGCCCCGGCGCAATGCTGCAAAGCCTGTCTATCCGGCGCATGTTAGCTGCGTGTACCTACATTTACAAGCTACTGTGCTCCAATCCTACCAGCCCACTTCGTCAGCTCTTGCCTCCCTCTCAAGCCCCCCGACCAGCCCATGTTCGACCCCCTCGTCTCTCTCTCGTCCGTCTCGACATGCATAACTACCAGCTTGAGACAGGGCTACCTGTCAATAGCCGGGAAAGTTGCCGTAGAGCTTTCCCCGCCTGTGCTGTCCCTGTATGGAATGCCCTGCCACCCGCCGTCCTCAGCCAGCCACCTGACCGGAAACGGCTGCAAAGTTTCAAAGTGTCTGTCTTCCGGCACCTCCGTGCCCAGCAATGGCACTGGGCCACTGACACTTTGTAAGATGTATGCACATCTGCCCACACACTGCTGCATATTGCCATACGCCTCGTGACCTGCTTACTCTTTTCTCTGGATCTGAATGTGCACCCCTTACGCATTATATAATTATACTTTATTTAGTTCTCGCCCCCTCTCTTGCCCCCAACCCTCCCCGCTCGCGCTCTCTCTCTCTCCCTCTCTCTCTCTCTCTCTCTCTCTCTCTCTCTCTCTCTCTCTCTCTCTCTCTCTCTCTCTCTCTCTCTCTCTCTTTTAAATACTTTTTTAGTTCTCTTATTTAGTTCTCTTGCTCCCCAACCCTCCCCGCTCTCTCTCTCTCTCTTTCTCTTCTCTCTCTCTCTCTCTCTCTCTCTCTCTCTCTCTCTCTCTCTCTCTCCTCTCTCTCTCCTCTCTCTCTCTCTCTCTCTCTCTCTCTCTCTCTCTCTCTCTCTCTCTCTCTCTCTCTCTCGCTCTTCTCTCTCTCTCTCTCTCTCTCTCTCTCTCTCTCTCTCTCTCTCTCTCTCTCTCTCTCTCTCTCTCTCTCTCACACTCTCTCTCTTTCTCTATCTCTCTCTCTCTCTCTCTCTCTCTCTCTCTCTTTCTTTCTGTCTAAGTTTCTCTCTCTTTCTCTCTCTGCTATTGGCGCGCCTGGTTGTGATGAAGCCGAGACCCAAGGTCGGCAGAGCATCCCAGACCACGCCACCACTCCCCTTATTCATGGCTCACACATGACGGGTTTACGTGGCTCTAGTAAAAAAAAAAAAAATGTCTGAGGCATTCATTCTATTCATAACAATGAGAATGTAAGAAGAACCGAAGTGTCAAGTTAGAAGGAAGTGTTAATACGGTCTGCATGAGAGATGAGTGTGAAATGCATGCAAGAAATTCATGGATGAATGTGAGAACCATCACAAAGTGCATAATAGGTCTTTTGCCAAATAAGACACGCAGTGACTTGGCGGGGCATGGCATGCGTACTGAATGCGTGACCCAGGCATGCCATACATGCAGTGCATTCCTCCCAGCGCGAACTCTTGTTCTGGAACCGCAACGATCAATCACCGCGTTTGGCGTGTACTTACCCAGGCGGCCAGAAAAAACGGGACTCTCCTGGATCGGAAAAAAACTGACAGCGAAGGATTCTGTTTTCTTCTTGCTTCTTCATTGCTGTCCAATATGTAGAAAGGGTTTTTCGCATTTACTTCTTGCTGGACCTTTGTGATATGTTTGATACATGGCTGATGAAGCGGTTAATGAGCCGAGCACTTCATCTCTTGTGGCGGTACGTTGCGATGAAGGGAATGTTGTCACTTGATAGTAGTCCTGCGAGGGAGAATCAAGTTGAATTAGCGATCCCAAAGCTCGGGTTTTGATGCCTTTGGACAACGAGTCCTTTGAAAAATGGACAATCAACTAGTTGAAGACTTACCTGCGAGCTAGAGGAGCCGGAGTGTCCAGGAAACGGGGTGATTTGCTCGATCGGTAAGTGCCACTTCAGGATGCAGTCTTCAACATTTCGCACAAGAAAAAATACATTTTATCGATACATGTTTTACATTCTAACTTTCTCCATCTGTTCAGGGCCTGGTTCTATCACATCGATCCAATACTGTGCACTCCAGATATATTTGGCGGCAGGCCTCGGCAAGGAAAGCGGAAAACCGCTGCCATTCAGAATTGTTGACGCTGAGCTCGTGGAAGCCCATAGCGACGCAATGAGGATATCGTCCCTCTAGCAGCTACATTTCGTCCTAGTTTTCCTGAAACTGGGTCCAGCTCTGCTCTACCAAAGGACCTATTGTATGGTTGCAAAGATACTTTTATATTCGCCCTTGAAAATTGATAAACCGCCAGCACTAATATTAATCAAGAGGGGTATTATTATTCATTGCACTTTTGCAAATATTGCAATCTAAAATACTATCCACATTTATACCCAGTAAGTCATTAGCTGCTCCGTATTGTGCATGATTGTTCAGGCATGACAGAATTCGTGTTGCAGAAGATCAATTCGTCATGCAATGCTAGCAACAGTTGGCATGGAAAACATAATTTGCTTCAGCAAGTAAAGGAGCCTGGAATACTGTGAGCAGGCAGCGAGCAATCCCTATCTGAATGATGATAGGGAAAAGAATTGTTGGAACGATCTTTGAAAAGATAGAGAAGTCCCTGATTCGCTCCATCTGACACTCAACATGAATTCGTAACGTGGCAATTTGTTGCGTTTTCTGGACATCTTCTAAGGCCATCTGTTGCTGGATCGCTTGAACTTTACGCCATGTGGCATCAAGAGATCCCGGATGTAAAATCCTTGGTCTGCCATAATCAAAGTCCCATAGCCGGCTACTGGCAGAATATCTAAGTAGTGGCTTCTAATTGTGAGCTCGTGGTCACTGGTGGGTCCCGTAAATGACTTGGAGGTAAGCACCGCACCACCATCTGGGGTCATACGGATGAGGCTCGTCAAGGTAGTAACTTTATGCGTCTTATATGAGCTGTAGAGTTGCGACTGCGCAGACAGACTGGAAGCGATATTACATTTCAGCACTGTAGCATCTATGATCATGAATGTTGTAGGGTGCAGCTTTTTGAAAACATCCAGCAATCGGTCTGCCACTTGGGAAGGACGCGGCGAGATTGGTATGTGTGCCGTGGCAAAGACTAACCATGGTAATGAAAAAGCTCTCCAAGCCAATTAACTTAATCTTCCGTTCATCACCGGGTTTCCTTTTCCGGGAATCGGCATCCACTGGTTAAGTGCGAAAGGAAAGACGCTCTTATAATCCAGGTGAAAAAACTGAATACATGCATCAAACGCAGCAAGCAAAGGAACACCAGTGTACTACTGAATGTCAGAGTCTTCAAACCGAGCTAAATATCCAGGCTGAACTCCACTTGGATATCGTCGATAGCGACTATAGTATTCATCAGTGAAATGGTTAGAACAGTTCAACACACCACTATATTGTATGGCATATCTATATTGTATGGCATGATGGTACCCGTAGCCATTCCGCTCATCTCGACGAATGGCGGCAATCCAAGACTTTCTTGTGTCCAACTCGTCACTGCTCACGCTCTTAGCTTCTCCAGTTTTCGATTCCTTGCTAGCAGGGAAGACATGGAACAAAGTATTTTGTCTGAACGTCGGTCGCTGTTGCACTGCGGAACGCAGCGGTGATCGCCTTTCCCATGGCTAAAATATCTGGAGAGATGTTCTAGAAAACAAAACTAAACCCTTTACAAGAACTAGGCAGAGAAAATCCAGTGACCGTCCTCATTATATTATTCTAGAATGTCGATCGCGATCGCTTGAAGAAACATAGTTTTTGAAAGTCACAAGCAAAACAAAAAAAAGGAAGTCACTATTTTCTCGACGCGTGGGTGAGCACGTACACGCCAAACGCGGTGATTGATCGTTCCGGTTCAGGAACAAGAGCTCACGCGTGACTCGTAATGCACTGCATGTATGGTGTGCCCGGGTCACGCATTCAGTACGCATGCCATGCCCCGCCAAGTCACTGCGT